TTCTAGAAGATATTTTCCGTATCTTTCAAAACTTGATATGCCTGAACCTTCTCTCAAAAAGCATACATTCAATGGGCTCTGATTCTGACTTGTACTAAAGGCACTTTCCATCTCTTGCAGTGTAAAGCGCCTTTAAAATAGACACCAGTCACATTTATGCCCCTGCACAATGCCAGAGTGGTCATAAGAATCAAGCCCAACATATCTGAGGGTTTGCCGTATCTTTCAAAACTTGATATGCCTGAACCTTCTCTCAAAAAGCATACATTCAATGGGCTCTGATTCTGACTTGTACTAAAGGCACTTTCCATCTCTTGCAGTGTAAAGCGCCTTTAAAATAGACACCAGTCACATTTATGCCCCTGCACAATGCCAGAGTGGTCATAAGAATCAAGCCCAACATATCTGAGGGTTTGCCATACCTCATTCCGGCGCCCTGTCACATGTAGCCATACTGAAAGCACCTATTTTCCGTTTGATAAGATTTTTGCACTTGTGCTGTTGAGAGCCGTCGCTGCATGCAGAAGGAACCTCAATTTTCCATCTTGCCATTGCCAGTATGACTATTTTAGCCACAGCTAACCATTTTTTAGTGTTGGCTAGGGACATTAAGTCAGCTATATGTGCCTAGTAGAGAGGTAAGAATAGTAGCATAGTTTGGGGCAGAAATAAAGGATATGAGATAAAGTGACCTGCTGCTGTCTACCGGGGAAACGTAACCCTCTGCAGAGGGTTAGTCCAAGGCAAATGCACTACTTACAACCAAGTTGGACTTACATCATGCATTGGCCTTGTGCTTACCAACAGCATCAGGATGAACATCTGCTCTGGGATACAATAAAATCTGCTGAATCACAGCTCTTTTCTGATCATTCAGCAAGGCCTTTAAAGTTATTTGGAACCATCCCCAAAGAAATGGTCAAAAGAGAATATGTGAGAGAAGAAAGGAAAGTATTTCTAGAAAGAATTCAACAGCAGACTGAAATAAAAAAGAATCGAATGAATGAAGTGAGAAAAAGAGAACAAAAGAGACACAGAAAGAACAAGCAGGGAAAAAAGTAAGACAGAAATTAAGACTCAGGTAGCTTAATCAAGACAATAAATGGCACAGTTATTTAGGCCAGGTCTATACTACAGACTTTGGCATGGCTTGTTTCATTCATGGGAGGCAGTGTTCCTATACCTATACAAAGTGTTGCTTTGTTGATATAGCTGCATCTACAGTAGGGGTACCTCTACACTACAGAGAAAGATCGAAGCTGCCACTGTCGATCTTCCAGGGTTTGAATTAACGGGTCTAGTTAAGACAGCTAATTCGAACTGAGAGGGGCACCCGGTTAATGTCGGTAGTCCTGCTTCCACAAGGAGTAAGGGAAGTCAAAGAGAGAGTGTTCTCACTTCGACTTCCTGCAGTGTAGACCGCGCCAAAAGTCGGATTAAGGTACTTGACTTCACTACGCAATTAACATAGTAGAAGTTGCATATCTTAATTCAACCGTCTCCTGTAGTGTAGACATGCCCTAGGAGTGCTACACGGGTATTCCTATACCAGTAAAACACTCCTAGTGTAGACATGGCCTAAAGCAATAATTTACTAGAAAATTAAACAGTTTCTTTACCGGATTTATTTTCTCTTCAATCATTCCTTGATATTTCACAAGAAAAATGTTAGATGCAAAAGCTATTTCTTACCTTTCCCATTCGAGGTTCTCCAATCAAAGCCCTGAACTCTGGGTTGTTCTGAGCATAGCTTCTAAGATGAGCACAGACATGATCTAATTGTTTTCTCCAGTACCCTAAAAAATAGGAGTTATAAAAAAGAAAATACCCTGTACTTGTCATCAGTAACTCTTCCACTGGTGTGGTAGAGTAAGTAATTATAGATTTTGACCAGGCCAAGAACACTGCATTTTTCTGTAACAAATCCAGCTGACCAAGGAGCAGGAAGAGAAGCAAGTTGCACCCATAAAAGGTTAAAATAAATACAATTCCCCTCGGATCAAGAGTGGACCATTGAGTCTTAATTCTTTCCCAGAGCTCCCTTTGGGGTGGCAAAGGTATGTGCTCCCCCCATATTCAGTGCTGAGTCTAAAGACTGGAGCTAGCCTTGTGTGACACCGAATACACAACAATTTCAGGGAAAAAAAGTTAATCTTAGTGTAGTATTAAGCCTGAGCCATCCAGCATGAATAAAGTAATTTTCAGGAAATGTGGTTTGCTTGTGCAGATCTTATTGAGAGCTAAAAATAAAACCAGGTCTGAAAACTGTAACCGCAAATAAGGGATTCCAGTTTGTATTATAAACTGTATTATTTGATAAATACTTTATGTCTTAACATATACTCTCTCTTTAGGAAATTATAAGCACAAAGAAGTACAGATAAGATGAGTTTTGACATGCAGTTTGAGGGGTAGGGAGGAGTTCTAACAAATCAATATTGGCTCACTAACTCCAGATGAAACTGTCTCTGTATTTTCTTCCATAGGCACCTCTCCTCTTCAAGAGTCTCAGTGAGCGAATCCAACTGACAAGTGCCTCAGATCTCTTCTTCAGACGCACTTGTGAGACAACACCCATGAGAAATTGGCCGATTGCTAAGCATCTTTGGGGGTAAATGGAGACAGTTTACCCAGATAGCAAACAAGAAAACAACAGTGTGGAACTGCGATTACATGTTCCTGTCCTAATGCCGATCTCTCTGCTTATATGTTGTGTGTCTTTCCCCAGTCTTCTGTCTGTTCTTTGTCTATCTGCAAGCTCCTTATGGTAGGAGCACCATGCATGTATAGCATCTAGCACATTTTGAGTGCTGCTACAAGCTAAATAATTAATAAGAAGTCAGAGTAGGATTTAGTGTAAGTTCTTTTGCCATCTGAGTCCATGATTTCAAATGAAATATTCTAGGTTTAATGGACAAAGGAATGGAAGAACTTGTTTTAAACCTTAAGTGGCTGTGTATTGGGATCCAGCCAACTTTACTGTAGAGGACACCTGGGCTATGTCTAGATAGCGGTGCTATTTTGGGATACCGGAAGTATCCCAAAAGAGCTATTCCGCATCTTTAAATATGCCCATTATTTTGAAATAGATTTCAAAATAACGGGCATGCTATTCTAGCGTCCCTGTAACCCTCATTCCATGAAGGTTAAGGGGCTTGTCAGAATAGCACTTTATTTCAAAATTTGGCGTTGTGTAGACAACGCCAAATTTCAAAATAAGCTATTTTGAAATTAGATCAAAATAAGATATGCAATTTGAGCTCAACTAATTGTGTATCTTATTTCGACCTATGGGTGCAGCATAGATGCACCCGTATAGAAAATAGGGAGAGTAAACAAACTGTAGGTGTGACAAACCTCATTTAGTCGAAACAGTAAAGTCACCCTGACCTTACTCTGACCTGCCATAGCATTGACTGAGGACCACAATAGACACATGAAGGCAAATCAGAAAAAGAGTACTACTGTGTGGCTTTAGTAAGGCAAGACAATAGCAGAAGAGAAAATATACTGGGTAGTTTCTTTCTCTTATGTCACTAATTCTTAGAAGGGATTCACTGTACTGAAGCTGTTATGAACTTCAATTTCAAAAAGCCAGTAGCTCCTGATTCAATATCAGAATGTACAATGGGGGCTGCTGGGCGCTACTGCTGTATAAAGGTTATTTTATTATATACAAAAAATGCCGAACTATAAGCAAAGGAATGGTTCTCAAAAAATTTTAGTTCTTGAGAAAATCAAGGTAAGGAGGGTTAGAAGGAAAATCATCAAGCTCAGAGGTTGGCCATGTACAAACTATGGTAAAGTGAAACCGGAGGCTTATAGGGTATTGACCATCATGATAAGCTTTAAAGAAACAAACTGAAAAATGATCATGTCCAAAATTGTTCCCCAACAAGAGAGGCCTTTTGCTTTAAACTAAATCCCAGGCTGAAATAAATATTTTTTTTAAGTAACAATTAAACCTTACAATTAGGCTACTACTTTGTGGATGCATTTCCCAGTAAAGACAGTGATAGTTGCACTAGGTTAGGCCAGGGTTAAATTGGGCCAGAATACTTGTCACATAAAAATCAAGATGTAAAACCTGGATGCCAGAAATACACTTATGCGTGCTTGGCTCCATGCTACTTTTGTTTGTTATGTGTCTTAAAAGGTTTCTGGCAGCCTTGACTGTAAATCTGAACTCGTGTTCTCATTAACTGGTTACACCTAGATCAGACTGATTTACTGTACATTATAGTAAAAAAGAGATAGCTTCTCTGTAACATTTACTTTGCAAATGTTTTGGCTCCTGTTCAAAACAGACCAAAAATACAACCAGAAAAAATAGAGCACAGGTCAGGAAACTTATATTTCTTTTTTATTGTTATTTCTCCCTCTCCAAGTTGTACTAGGGATGTAAGCGACTAGTCGACTACCTGATAAACACATGACTGTCCGGTAGTTGAATAGTGACTAGTCCAGTTGCTTCCCCGCCCCTTGCAGTCTCTATCAGAGAGAGGTAGAAAGGGGGAGGAGGGCAGGAGCCACTGTTGGGTAGGGGACCTGGCTTAAAAGCCAGTTCCCCCCAGCACAGTCTCCACAGGGGGAAAAGGGAGATAGAGGTATAGCGGAGAACCAGGCAGGAGCTGGGAATCAGCTATGCTGGCTTGCACCTGGTCCCAGACGCAGCACCTCTGCCTTTTAAATGTAATAAGAGCCTGGGGTCTCTTAATACATTTCAAAAGCAGAGATGCAACATCTGGGAGCTAACCCCACTGTGGCTCTGCAATTTTCCCCCTTATCAAGTAATTGGGTAGCTGATTAAATGCAATTTAACATCCCTAAATTGTACTGCAAGCATGATTGTCTATTTAGTGCAGGAAGTTGATTTGTTAAGAATCATAGAATGCTAGAACTGGAAGGGACCTCACAAGATCATCATGTCCAGTCCTCTACCCTCATGGCAGGACCAAGCACCATCTAGACCATCCTTGATAGAAATGTCTAACCTGCTCTTAAATATCTCTAGAGATGGAGATTCCACAACCTCCCTAGGAAATTTATTCCAGTGTTTAACCACCACGGCAGTTAGGAACTTTTTCCTAAATGTCCAACCTAAACCTCCCTGGCTGCAGTTTAAGCCCATTGCTTCTTGTCCTAACCTCAGAGGCCAAGGAGAACTATTTTCTCCCCTCCTCTCAATGACACCCTTTTAGATACCTGAAAACTGCTATCATGTCCTCTCTCAGCCTTCTGTTTTCAAAATTAAACAAGCCCCATTTCTTCAGCCTTCCCTCATAGCTCATGTTCTCTAGACCTTTAATCGTTTTTGTTGCTCTTCTCTGGACCGTCTCCAATTTCTCCGCATCTTTCTTGAAATGTGGTGCCCAGAACTGGACACAATACTCCAACTGAGGCCTAGCCAGCGCAGAGTAGAGCAGAAGAATGACTTCTCGTGTCTTGCTCACAACACTCCTGTTAATGCATCCCACAGCTGGGCAGTGAGAATGCAAGGTGGCTGAGCCAGGCAGCGAGGCTGGGGTGAAAAAGGTCTGCGCTGAGGTTTGGGTAGGGTTACCATACATCTGGTTTTTCCTGGGCATGTCCTTGTTTTCACATGTTAAATCGCCGTCTGAGCAGGTTTTTTACAAGGCAAAAAATGTCTGGGAATGTTTGCAAAGGGGATCAGGGAGGGGATGGCAGCACATGCTGTCAGTGGAACATTTGGAGCCACGTGTCCAGACCATTCATGGCCGCTCTGTGCACGGGCCCCTGCGCCTGCTCCAGTAAGACCCAGGATGTTACCCTCCATCCCACAAAATTTATGTCCCTAGCTCTGCGGGAGGGAAAGGGCATTGAGTTAGAGCAGGGAGGCTGGGGGTGCCTGGCTCTGGAGGAGGGGAAGGGCATTGGGTTGGAGCAGGAGGGCTGGAGGGTGCCTGGTTCTAGGGGAGGGCAGGGGCACTGGGTTAGAGCAGAGAACTGGGTGTTAAAACTTCTGACTTCTTTCCTTTCCTGCAGGTGGGCAGGGGGTCTGTTGGTTCCAGTTTCTGCTCGGTGAGGAATCTGGGAGCTGGTACTTGGTGGGGCGGGCAGAGGAAGGAAGGGATTCTGGGAAGCTGGGTTCCTTTTCTAGCCAGGCCCCTTCTCCGCTCGGCGCTTTTAACTTCACATTATACTTATATTTCAGTAAGTACTGTATTGGCAGGTTTTGTTTGATTTGTTAAAATTGTGAAGCCAAAACAAAAAAGTAGTTAATAGAATGGTCTTCTGTTGAGATGTGTTTTAGTACAGGCAGTCCCCGGGTTACGTACAAGATAGGGACTATAGGTTTGTTCTTAAGTTGAATTTGTATGTAAGTCGGAACTGGCTCCAGATTC